CCCCTGGAGATGAAAACACAATAAGAATTGTAAGAAACCAGTTTTTGGGGGAGTCAAAAGAATGTTAATGAGACAACTGATTACGTCTTTTAAGAACTTTTATACAAAGAAGTTAAAAATAAAATACTAGGTCCAGTTGAAATATTTCACATGCCCACCCAAAAAACCCACCCCAAAACATAACATTGAGCTTTCAGAGGGGAAGCAGGGAGTGGGAAAGAAACTAATGAGAGGACAGCATGGAAACCACACTGAGGAAACAGAAGTTTTAACCAACGATTATTAGAAAAACAACAGCAATCATTGATTAAACAAATTATGGTTCTAGGAAAAGGGACAGAAAACAGTCAGTCTTGGGAAGACTGCAATGCTGGGTAAGCTCTGAGCATTAGGAGTGACAGCTCTCATTTCCTATGCAATTAAGAGCTTCCTTCTTTGGGCCATCTGAGTCAGTTGACAATCACTTTTTTTTTTTTTTTTTAGATAGAGTCTTGCTCTGTCACCCAGGCTGGGTGCAGTGGCACCGTCTTGGCTCACTGCAACCTCCGCCTTCCAGGTTTAAGCAACTATCCTGCCTCAGCCTCCCGAGAAGCTGGGACGACAGGCACGTGCCACCACGCCCGGCTAATTTTTTGTATTTTTAGTAGAGACGGTGTTTCACCATGTTAGCCAGGGTGGTCTCGATCTCCTGACCTTGTGATCCACCTGCCTCGGCCTCCCAAAGTGCTGGGATTATAGGCGTGAGCCACTGTGCCCAGCCTGGCAATCACTTTTTGAGCACACATTATATGCTAAGCTCTGTGTTAGAAGTTGGGGCCATAACACCTATGTATCTTTATAGAGACGTAAAGCATCCTGCCTTACACAAATGCCCAGGGAATGGTGAATGTAATAAGGTATAACAACAGCTAAAATTTATTGAGCACTTGCTATGTTTTAAACACTTTACAAGAACTATAATCCACTATGAGAACAGAACTGTACTGTTTTGGTCACATTTGTAGCTCTATTACTTGGCACATACGTATTCAATAAACATAGTTTAAAAATCCTTCCAACAACTCTATGAGTAGGTATCATTACTCCCATTTTACAGATGAGAAGACTGAGGTCCAAAGAGATTAAGCACTTGTTTGGTGTCACAGTTAGGAAGCTATGGGACAAGGATTTGAACCCAGGAAACCCTGCAAAAGACTCCACAATGCTGCCCCTTGATAAGTACATGAGTAATGAAAATGCAAGATGAAAGTAGAAAGCACTTCAAGGGAGATTCAAACAAACTGCCTTAGAAGTTCTAACCTCTGGCAAGGAAAGGGGACAGTGAGAAGGGGAGGATCCTTGGAAGAGATGGCATTTGAGTTGGGTCTTAAAATGTGGATGAGATCTCCTCAAAGGAGTACAAGGGGAAGCATCTTCAAGATGAAGGAATGTCAGGAACCAGCACTCAGAATTGGACAAGTGAAAGGTGTATTTGGAGACTTTTACACTTCCAGTTTGCTGGGGAAGTAGCCCTCCTCCATGGCAGCAGCAGGAGATTATCTGGAGTGGGTTGGAAGTGGTAAGGAGCAGGGCTTCTCATGCTGTCACTGAACAAGGATTGACTGGTGATTCAGCAGGTCCATGGTGTGGCCCCTGGTGATGCCAAGGCAGCTGGCTTTGGACCACACTTGGAGCAGCTGGGTTCTAGAGGGCCTTGCTTTTCTGGCTCAAGGGTGTAGATTTTATTTGGTAAGCGTAGGACTGCAGAGATGGAGTTTAAGCAGGAAAATAAGGCTTTAGAAAGACGAGCTGGTGACAGTGGTATAAGATGCCCTGGAGAAAGTTGGGCTTTGGTTTCTTTAGCTCCTAACTTATAACTCTCAAAGCTCAGAATACTGATTCAGTCAGGGTCCACACAGGAAAACAAAGACCAAAGAGATGATTAACAGATATCAGCCAGGCACGGTGGCTCACGCCTGTAATCCCAGCACTTTGGGAGGCCGAGGCGGGTGGATCACGAGGTCAAGAGATCAAGACCACCCTGGTCAACATGGTGAA